CGCGAAATCGAACGATGAGACGGCCGGCGGAGGGAGGTTTCGATGGTCGATTGGGTTAGGTTAGGTTGGGGTGTCAGTCACCTTTGCCGAGGAAGAGCTCGTACAAGCGAGGCAGCGGCCACTCCCGGGTGCCCATCCTCCCCTCCCTCTCTTCCTTCGCCGGCGGCGGCGGCGGCGGTGGCGGAGGAAGGCAAGGGCGAGGGAATCTTCTGGAATGTGGGGGAATGAAAAGGGCGGGAAAGGGCAGGGACAGGGAGTGGGTGCGCTCGAGCAACCGGAGGCCGAAATGTGCCCTCACCTGCTTTGCTTTTCAATTAAATTTTGAATTCTGAATTTAAACTTGCTTTGCTGATTTCCTCTTCGATGGCGATTATGTATGCCCCCTTTTGAGAAGAAATGCAGCCACCAACCTACCAAAATGAGTTCAATTTTTCGAAGGTGAATCGCATTGAAGTGACTAAAGAGATGACTACGCAAAAAAAAGTAACTAAAGAGGTGCCTCGATAAATGCTGGCGTGAAGTCTCGGCACGGGCCTGAAAGAGGATCAAGGTGCATGCATATTAAGGTGCTGGGAGCACGGTGGTGTCGCCCAGCCGACTAGAGTTCGAACCGTTGTCAGTCGAATTCCGTGTCTGGCTTGATTGTCCGTGACGAATTCAGAAGTTTGGTCAAATTCGTTGTCAGGGATGGGGCCTCGACCCAGTTCTGGCTTGATTGGTGGACTGGTGATGGCCCCTTAGCCGTCACTTTTCCTACCTCGCTCTCTTATGTCGCTGAGCAGGCCTGCTCGATCGTTGTGCTTGCTGTGTCGAACTGGGATTTTGCTTTTAGACAGGTTTTGTCTTCTGAAGAGTTGGCAACCTGGCAAGATCTTATTGCCCTCTTGCCTACGCTCTCGGAGACATCTGACCAGATTATCTGTCCTCATCCGACCTCTGGCCGATTCTCAGTTAAATCTCTTTACTCTGAAGTCATCCCGGGCAGGCTTGATGATCGTCTCAAGGTGTTGTGGCGTGCCGCCGTATTCCTCTCAAAATCAGAATTTTCCTTTGGCAAGCTATTAGATGTAAACTTCCGATCAGTGACCAAATTATTAAACGCCAGGGCAATGCTAGCCCAGTCTGCACTCTTTATGGAGAGTTGGAAGACACGCACATCCTGTTCAAATGTACACTTGCTAAGTTTGGCTAGAGTTGCGTTCGACCGTGGTTGAACTGCAACTGGAATCCTCAGGGTTGATATCTTTTGCTATCCTACATAGCGTGACGGACCAGCCACTACGTGTCTTCTGGATCGCTTTTGCTGCACTTAGCTGGTGTTTTTGGACGACTAGGAACAAGTTTACTACTGAGCACATTTTTCCTAACAAACCGACTGACTGTTTGTTCAAAATTATTGCCTTTCTACAGCTATGGAGACCACTGTTTAAATTGTGCGATGCGGACATGCTCAACTCTTATCTCCAAGATCAGGACGTCCACGGTCAACCTCGATCATCAAGCTACCCCTTAGCCTCCTCAGTAGTTTCTTTGTTTCGTTTGTTACCGGCCTACATGCCGTCTGCCTTCGAGGTTGTACCGTACTTTTTCCGACCCGTGTTGGGCATGCCGCGCTACTGTTTTCTCGTGAACATGATATATACTTGGCTTGTTGGGCTTTATAAAGTCGGGCTACCATGATTTTCTCCAAAAAGTAACAGGTGGCCAAAACGCTCGCCAATATTTTGGCTTGCCCATGTCAGGATCCAAACAACCCCATAAAGCTTAGATGGTGGGGTGATGGGGTAAAGATGAAATATTTTGTAAGGATAATGCAATTACCATATGTGCTAGCTTGTGATTTGAGCACAATATTCTAAAGAAGGATCACTTTAAAGTAACATTATACATTTTACCCTGTGCATTCTTCTTCACTTTTATCCTGCGCAGCAAGCTTATGGACTCGTTGGATTTCACCCGCACCAGGCCTTACAAAACATGGGTGCGCCAAATTATTGGCAAACGAATTTACCACCATGAATCGGCCCAGCTGTGGGCACAAATTAGGAGTGGCAACAAAAATATTGGCTGAGGATCAGTCAATGCTCATAATGTTTGTTCGCATACATATAACTTTTTATATAAATATACTAGTCTTGTGCCAAACATTTAATTCTAGCATAATTACCAAGTTCATTTCATCATCCACGTCGTACAAGATGTGAGTCTCACAAAACTCAAAAGAAGTGGCTAGATTCTACTGCAGCCATGTTGCTTCCACGTTCCATGCATTACATTAAAAAAGGAAGCATAATTCTAAGTTTTTGACTGGTGATACATAAAAATATTCCGAAACTTGTGTCTATAATTGGCGTCGGGTTAATTCCATTTGCTCCATGAAAGAATCAGTTGATCGAAATGTATGTGTTGATTCACTCATCTCCAAAGGCCATCAGTAATAGGGTAAGTGCCTACACAAATAAAAGCATCAAGGTTCAATTAAATACACCAGGTATATTGGTGATTATCACATTATATTTACATTCCATGAAGCAAAGGGCAGGAAGAATTCAAGAAATTCTAAAAAACCATCATAACAAAAAATCAACTACCACGTTAAGATGGTTACCTTCTATGATGTCCTCTCCACAATCCGATACAGTTACGGTCAAATTTCTAACTCTTCGGCAACGTTTTGTGGCATGGAATATTTGAATCTGTAAATTAAACAATATTATTTCAAGTTGCTATAGTCGACATAAATTTAAGCATTCCATAGTTAAAACATAATAGTAACTTACTCGAACATCTGTTTCGGCCTTTAAGACTTTTGCTTGATCAAAATGGTCTCCGCCTATATCCAGCAACATCTTTTCCAACTAAAAAGTTACAAAAGTCAACATCACAAAGTGTCAGATAAAAAAAACTCCTTTCCTATTTTACTTAAAACATATTACCTCAGTTGTATTAGAAATACACTCTCCATTGAAGCGTTCAATAACATCACCCATGCGGATTCCAAGTTTCTCAGCATTCGATTCTTTTGACACCTAAAATTTAATCGACCGTCATTTAAACCATAATATGCATATGAGGAACATTTTTTAGGAAAAACTAATAGCAACTGTGAAAATAAACAATGTTAAACATCACCAAATATACCTGTTCAACAAGAAGACCAGATGCAATGTTATGCTTACGCCTCATCCTCTCAATACAAATAGGATCTAGAAGCTTGATGGAAGTAAAGGTCATTCCAAGGTGGGCACGAGGGATGCATCTATACCAAATATAATCATTAAGATTGTAGTCGCTTTATAGACTCATGTTAAAATAAAAACTACATATTTCAGTAGAATCGATACCAAATGAGTATCACATCACACAAAACTTAGACAAGAGCATTATGCAACTAATACCGTAACAAGACATTAATTTATATCGTGCTCAAAAGAGGATTAAGCCAGAAAAATGGGCCACCGAGTTAAATAGAAAAACTGAACCTTCACACCAAATTTAGTTCCTATACCCTGGATAGGAATAGTTTGTAAAACACACAAAATTTGGTAAGGTGACCAACAAACATTTTCTCTCTAGTGTTAGACACATTTTGTAGCACATAGGCCTCACGTAATGATTTTCCAAATCACATTTTAGCAATTCATCCAAATGTAATAATTGTTAAGCAATCACAATCCAAACATAATTTTGTAGTTGTTCAGTAGTATGGCATGAGTTAAAATATATAAGGGAGTGCATTAGCTTAATTAATAGTACTAAAGAGAAATTGAGAATTAAGGGTCGTACTTCAACTTTCTCCACGAATCCAAGCACTTGTGCAATATAGAAGAAGGTAAAAAGGTCTCTTTGAATTGATTGTGAACCATTCCCACAACCTTGCCTTCTAAGTCAACGACAGGGCCTCCATCGTCATGCAACTACAAAACAGTGACGATAACAAACATTATAATATGTATACTAACAAAATAGCAGGATAAAAAATATACAACAAAAATTTAGAATTAAACCATAGCACGTACACTTGTACGTTCATCGTGGGAAAAATACATGTAGTGACATCTCTCGTGACGGGTTGGAATTTCATATTCCACCCTACCATGTGTTATCCTCAGATCAAGACTTTCATCTCTTCCAAGTCGGAAAACGTCTTGACCAGAATGCACGTTGTCGTTAAAAGTGGGCAACTGAACCGGTTTGTCCACTACAACCTCATAAAGAGCAAATTCATAGTGCTCCTCGAGGTAGAGGAGAGTGGCTACTGCAGTTTCGCCGTCCAACAAGTGAACAATGACCTGGAAAGACAAGCACAAAAATTATGACACTATGACCCCGAGAGAATTTTCATAGTATTTGGCGGAATAACCATTTTCGAGAAATTAAACTGAATGCCCACGCACTGAATCAATTCCTTTTCCAAGTACAGGGTGTAAATAAGTACCAGTTCACTTTTCTTGTATGGAAATTGAAGAGATGAGCCATTTTAATTGGTAAGAGATAATTAAAAATTTGAGGCTTTTCAAATAATGAAATTTTGAGATGAAACAAAGAAAGAAAGAAAGAAACACTAGCTAGTGAATGAAGAAGATAGATAAATAGAATGGTGAGTGAACATTGTTAAGAAGCTCACCTCAGCATCGCGATGATATTCGCATGTGGACCCGAGCATCCACGGGTTCCTCACGGATGGATCCTTTGCGCGAATCAGATGCGCGGACGTCAAAACCACGGCGGTTTTCTTCTTCATGTCATGTTGAATCCACAAACCACAACACGTATTCAACGGCTCATCGTCGTCTGCTTCTGCCATTGAAGTAAACTGAAAGTCAAAACACCCGGTCGGTATATATCCTAGAAAATATTAATTAATTATATGTTTTGTTACATACCGAGATAGGACGAGAGGGTGATGATAGAGTCGGCGGCAAGAAGCACGGCATCCTTTGCATGCTCGCGGATATGAAGAAGGCGTCGGTCGTTGGACAGGCATGAACTAGAAGAGTAACGATCAAAGACAGCTAACCGACAGGCTACATACATATGGCGGATCGAAAATTGGGCAGGTTAGTGTCCGTCTGGTTAATGATGACGAGGAAAAATTAAGCAAGCATTACCTCTATCTGCATGATATTCGGTGTTGGCGATCCTGAGGGCGGCACGTAGGTCCGGGTCATCAGCTAGCTCATCGGGTATGTAGGGTCTGTACATGAGAGGGCTGGGTGGACATGAGGAGGATTCCTCCGACGAGGACTCGACCGCATCGTCGTCGTCGTCGTACACAGGATCTACATACATTACATACAGAGAAAATAAACACCAACCAATACTACTACTACTCATGTCGTGATAAGGAGGGGAATCGAGCGGAGAGGAGGTTGGGTTACCTAATTTTGGTCGGGGTTTTGCTTTTTCACTCTCGAATGCCGCGAACATCAATCTTCGATCCTCTGCCACGCTTCTCTTGGTCTTCCTCTTCTTCCTCGCTTCCGTCTCCGTCTCCGGATTCCCCCTCCTGCGCCGCCTCCCGTCCTTCGGCATAATTCCAACGGTTTGGGGTTGAGGCGGCTGCGCGTGCTTGCCTTGTTTTTCAATCTCTCCTCTTGTTTTATAGGCCGCCGCGGCGAGAAGCTGTACCGTGGATGCGGGACTTGCGGTTGTTTCCGTCACAGACTCGACCTGGGCTGCCCGTACGTGGACCCTGGCCCGACAAATCCGATTTCACGACGCCTACTACACAGTTGCCACAACGACCGCATTGGGTCGGCCCAGCTCGAGTGTTCCAAACCCCCTGGTCAGGGTAGTTCCAAATATACATGTTACAAAAAACACTTCACATAAGTTTTAGAAAAAATGTTAACGTGCATCTGAAAAGTGTTTAATGTGTGTAAAATAAAACTTTTTCCTGTATACAAATACTTCATTTTTTAAAACCTTTACAGAAAATGTTTCACATGTATAAAAAAATGTGTGATGTGTACAACAAAAGTTAGACATCAAAACAATTATTTGAAAAAAATGTTAATCATGTATATGAATTTTTTTAAACCTGTATAATTTTTTTACGTGTATACCAAAGATATACAATGTGTATGAAGACAAGATATTAAAACATTAAACTTGTGTAGAAAATGTTATCATGTAGTTAGAAAATTTAAACATGTACACAAATATTAAACTTGTGTAGAACAATGTTTTAAATGTGTAAGAAAAATGAATGATGTGTATTATAAAAAGCAGAAGTCAAAACATATATTTGAAAAACATTAATCATGCATATGAAAAATGTTAAACCGGTATAAAAATGTTTAGGTGTATACCAAATATGTAGAATTTGTACAAAAACAGAATATATAAAAAACATATATTTGAAAAAAGCATTAATTTGTGTATTAAAAATTTGTTCTTGACGTATACAAAAAATGTACAATTTGTGAATGTGCTAAAGAAAAAGAAAATAAAAAGATAAAAAAAGTAAAACCAATGAGAAAAATAAAAATAAAAAGAAAACCAGAGAACAACCAATACAAAAAAAAATGAAAAAGAAACAAAATAAAAGTAAACAGGAAAACCAAGAAAGGAAAAAAAAAGAAGGAAAAGGGGAAGAAAGAAAAAAATCAGTAAAAACCTGGAAAGAAACAAAGAAAACCAATGAAAAAAGAAAAAAAAAGAAACAAACAAAGAAAACCAAAGCAAATCGAGCTACAGCAACAGAGGGAGTATAGCTAACGCGACGACCCATGTGCGAGCCTTTCAAGCGAGCTAGACGGATATCTCGCTGTAACCGAGACATAGCATTCGCGGTCTTGTATGGCGGCGTGATGGATATCTCGCTATAAGCAAAATATAGCATTCGTGGTCTTGTAGGGCGACCTGGTTGGCTGCTCGATCTTTTTTTTTTGAGAAACAAAAATGCATTGATCAGGGATTTCTTTTAGACAGTGTAGTGAAGCTTTTATTAAGTCGTCATAATGTTTGCATGGATGTAATTAAGGGATCCAAGCTGACCTAATCAAACATGACAGACATCCCTTAAGATAACGGTAATGTAAAAAATCTGACGTCAGATTTTTAACTTTTCAGCATGGCAAATCTAATGCTTCTGATGGCAAGTTTAGTTGGCACGAGGGTGGCAAACTTAGTTTACAAGAACGAGAATTTCCTAACAAAAACAATATGAACTAATAAGACGAATTTGCCATGCATATCAACTAAACTTGTCATCCTCGATAAACATAAATCGTCATAAAAATGTTTGATTTTCCATAGTTAAAAAATCTCACGTCAGGTATGTTGTGGAGTCCAAAGATAAAGCATGCTTCGCTAAAATTTGAGTCTCGACATTCAAGACCCCCAACTCAAAATTGCACGTTGTAAAATTCTAGATCAACCGCTAAATTTCACAGAATAATTGCTTCATAATTCGCCACACTTCCTTGCTTGATGTTGTCAATGAATACCTTGCAATCTAATGCAACATGGATCTGATGAACGTATAGATCGTTAGCCAGCGCCAAAGCTTCCCTCACAACTCAAAGTTGTTGGGTCAGAAATCCCCAAGAAGACTACCGGAGATGCACCCATATAAGCTCCATGGTGATCTCTGCATACCTCTCCAACTGCACCAATATATCCATTCCTCGTCAGCGTTGCATCAACGTTTATTTTGGATAAACTATCAGGTGGAGCCAACCAATGATTTGGGCTAGACGGAGCTACTCTAGTGACCGTTGTGACATGCTTCTCCAACATTTGTAGCTTAGACAGAAATGGGGTTATAAAAGGTGAGCCGAGAGTGGGCTTTGAAAGATTTCCTCGTGAATTGTCTTTCTCCTAGCATGCCAAACATCTCAAAGTGTAACCATCATCTTGATGAACTCATCATGCGGCACAACATCGTGCATCGAGAAAAATCCAATTCTTTGCATTTGGGTCCTAATTAGGGCACATGTTTTCAACCAAACCCTTGGAAAAGAGAGCCCACCCACTTCTGGCCTTGGAACAGTCGAGCAGTGCATATCTCCAAGTATTCTCCGCTCCATAAAGAGGACATATCGGCGTCAGGGACATGTTTTGATGGTGAATAAGCTCGCCCGTCGGTATGGAGTGTTGCGCCAATCGCTACAAGAAGATCCTGAATTTTCTTTGCACTTGAATTTTCCACAGGGAAGTCGAGCTGTTGCTTTCTAAGTCCTGCTTTGATGGCCCTTCCCGTTGCTCCAGCAAGTTCTCCGTGTTCAACTCAGTTCTTTTTAGGAACATCCTTGTTCAACTTATTATGCACTACCATTCTGCAGGTAGGCCATACCGTAAAAACGGCACGGCTGTCCTTGCTACATGCCCAAAAATCGTCCACCCTTCTCATGCATAGCGGTACCTGAAGGAAATATGCCCTAGAGGCAATAATAAAGTTGTTATTTATATTTTCTTATATCATGATAAATGTTTATTATTCATGCTATAATTGTATTAAACCTGAAACTTAGTACATGTGTGAATACATAGACAAAACAAAGTGTCTCTAGTATGCCTCTACTTGACTAGCTCGTTAATCAAAGATGGTTATGTTTCCTGACCATAGACATGTGTTGTCATTTGATGAACGGGATCACATCATTAGAGAATGATGTGATGGACAAGACCCATCCGTTAGCTTAGCATAATGACCGTTTAGTTTTATTGCTATTGCTTTCATCATGACTTATACATGTTCCTCTCACTATGAGATTATGCAACTCCCGAATACCGGAGGAACACCTTGTGTGCTATCAAACGTCACAACGTAACTGAGTGATTATAAAGATGCTCTATAGATGTCTCCGAAGGTGTTTGTTGGGTTGGCATAGATCGAGAATAGGATTTGTCACTCCATGTATCGGAGAGGTATCTCTGGGCCCTCTCGGTAATGCACATTGCTATAAGCCTTGCAAGCAATGTGACTAATGAGTTAGTCACGGGATGATGCATTACAGAACGAGTAAAGAGACTTGCCGGTAATGAGATTGAACTAGGTATGATGATACCGACGATCGAATCTCGGGCAAGTAACTTACCGATGACAAAGGGAACAACGTATGCTGTTATGCGGTTTGACCGATAAAGATCTTCGTAGAATATGTAGGAACCAATATGAGCATCCAGGTTCCGCTATTGGTTATTCATCGGAGAGGTGTCTCGGTCATGTCTACATAGTTCTCAAACCTGTAGGGTCCGCACGCTTAACGTTCGATGACGATTTGTATTATGAGTTATGTGATTTGATGACCGAAGTTTGTTCGGAGTCCCGGATGAGATCACGAACATGATGAGGAGTCTCGAAATGGTCGAGAGGTAAAGATTGATATATTGGAAGGTAGTATTCGGACAACGGAAGGGTTTCAGAGTGCATGGGGTACATACCGGAGTACCGGAGGGGTTACCGGAACCCCCCGGGGAAAGATATGGGCCTTATGGGCCATAAGAGGGAGGCTAACCAGCCCACAAGGGGCTGGTGTGCCCCCCACAAGGGAGGAGGCTGAATTGGACTTGGGAATGGGGTGCCACCCCCTTTCCTTCTCCCACTCCCTCTCCTTCCCCTTTTCCCTCTCCGGTAGAAGGAAAAAAGGGTGGGGCCAAATCCTACTAGGACTGGAGTCCTGGTAGGACTCCCCTCTCCCTGGCGTGCCCCTTGTTGGCCGTACTCCTCCTCCCCTCCTTTATATACGGGGGCAGGGGGCACCCCAAAGACACAACAGACAATCTCTTAGCCATGTGCGGTGCCCCCCTCCACAGTTACACACCTCGGTCGTATCGTCGTAGTGCTTAGGCGAAGCCCTGCGCCGGTAACTTCATCATCACCGTCACCACGCCGTCGTGCTGACCAAACTCTCCCTCGGCCTCAACTAGATCAAGAGTTCGAGGGACGTCACCGAGCTAAACGTGTGCAGATCGTGGAGGTGTCATACATTTGGTACTTGGATCGGTTGGATCGCGAAGACGTTCGACTACATCAACCGCGTTACTAAACGCTTCCGCTTTCAGTCTATGAGGGTACATGGACACGCTCTCCCCGCTCGTTGCTATGCTTCTCCTAGATAGATCTTGCGTGATCGTAGGATTTTTTTTGAAATACTACGTTCCCCAACAGTGGCATCCGAGCGAGGTCTATGCGTAGATGTTATATGCATGAGTAGAACACAATGAGTTGTGGGCGATAATAGTCATACTGCTTACCAGCATGTCTTACTTTGATTCGGTGATATTGTTGGATGAAGTGGCCCAGACCGACATTACATGACCGCGTTCATGAGACTGGTTCTACCGACGTGCTTCGCACACAGGTGGCTAGTGGGTGTCTGTTTCTCCAACTTTAGTTGAATCGAGTTTGACTATGCCCGGTCCTTGTTGAAGGTTAAAACAACACACTTGACGAAAAATCGTTGTGGTTTTGATGCGTAGGTAAGAATGGTTCTTGCTAGAAGCCCGTAGCAGCCACGTAAAACTTGCAACAACAAAGTAGAGGACTTCTAACTTGTTTTTGCAGGGCTTGATGTGATATGATA